CACAAAGAGCACTCCAACCTCAGGGCAGTAGAGACTCCCTGATTTAAGGGAGAGTCCACTTGGAAGGTTGAAACTATGATGAAAAATTTCTAGAATGTTTAATATTGCTGACGATGAAAAAAAAATTTAGTGTATAAACAAAAAGAAAAAAATCTTTGCATTCTAGCCAACCTGATTTTACTTAAACACCAGCTTCACTTCATGATCTCTATTGACTCGCTCATAATAGAAGTTTAAACTGAATTTACACCTACCCTGTAACCCAGAAATTCCACCCTAGATATTTGATATAAAAATATAAACATATGCCTAAAAAGAATCTTGCAGATGAAAATGGAGTAACATTTAGTACACAAGGCAGTGGAGAATCAGAGTTGCAAAACAGCCTTTCTGTTAACTAGAGGCGTTTGTGTTTATACTTCCTTCTGGGGTATTGTCCTTTGTCTTGCTGCCATCTCTGTTCTCTGTGTCTCCACAATTCACGCGAAGCGCTTGGTCGCATCCTTATTGAAACAAATTTTCTATGCCATTGTTTGCTATTGGGGTGCTGGTGATGCCTTGTCTTATTAAATGTTGTGTTTAATGAGCAACTGGAATATACCGTCCTCCCGCGATGTGCAAGTATCTGCCCTTAGCCCCAGGAAGTAAGAATCCTAGTAGCAAGGAGAAAATGTGGTTTAAAGCATAGCTTCCCCTAGGAGGGTTGTGGAGTTCGTTTGGAGCTTTTGATGGGAGAGGGATACAGTGATAATAAATCCTATTTGGGCAAGTCCCATTTTCTTCCATCTCTTGGATCTCCTTTCTGCCCTTCTGTGGGTCCAGGCCACAGGACTGGACACGGTTACTTTCCAACCCCAGAGCCCCAAGAGCTTAGCATTATCAGGCTCTGGGCCAGCTGTGCAGGTTTTGTAGGGTGAATCCAAGGGCTGGCTTAAAAGAGGAACACAATACCAACTTAAAAGGCAAATGCATATATATTTGGAAAATAATAGAAAGCAAGGTAAATTACATTTTTTATTCCTACACTGATTATTTAGTCATAAAACTAGTGGTTCGCATTGTTTAATGGCTCATGATTACTAAAATCTGCACAGGAAGTGTCTTCTATATCATCCTCATCATCATCCAGCATTCGAGCACGTGGCAACCAAGTACAAGGACCTCGTATTGAGTATCCCATTTATTTCTTTATGTGATGCTCTATGAAGTAGCGCATTATTCTCCCCACTTCAGACAGAGAGGAGGCACAGAGAGGTTTGATATTTTGACCAAGTGGCAGCAGCTTGTTAGAGGCAGAGCTATCATAAGAACAAGCCTGACTCTGAACCACTCACTAGACAGTGATTCTCAACCATTTTCATCTCATGGCACAGGTAAACCAGTTACTAAAATTCTACAGCCCGCCAAAAAAATACGTTTTTGGCTGATCAGACAAGAAAAATAGCCAAACCCCTCCGCCTTCCCTAATCTTCCTCCTTCAGCGTCTTTATGCCTGTAAGTTACACCTTCATTCCAAGAACCTTTTTGGTGGTTTTCTCCCCATATCCCCATCCTATTGCCTCCGAAACAAATTGCCACAAATTTATTAGTTTATAACACAATTTATTATCTTAGAATTCTGGAGTCAGAAGTTAAAAATGGTGTCACTGGGCCAACATTGAGCTGTTGGCAGGGCAGCCTTCCTTTCTAGGTTCTGTGGGAGAATGTGTTACTTAGCTCTTTTCAGAATGGAGGTTATTGCATTCCTTGACTCAAAATCCCATTCGTCTCTCTCCAAACCAGCAATGCAAGGCCCAGTCCCTCTCCCACCGCCGTCTCTTTGCCTCCCTCTCCCCTTTAAAAGCCCCTGTGATTACATTGGGCCACCCCAATAGTCTAGGATAATCTCCCTCTTTAAGGCCATCGGATTACCTTTTATGTGTAAAAGCAAAGGGTGCAGACATACGGGATGATGTTAGACTCAGTGCTAGCGTTTGCCCATCCATGAGTCTGGGGCAGGAGTGGACAAGAGGAATGGGTCTGGAGAAGAAAAAATAAAGCAAAGTCCCTGCATAGTACTCGGGAAGGCCACGTGACTGACCGAAGGCATGCTGGCTTCTCTGCGATGTGAGTGACGAGATGTTGGGGAAATTGCTTTTTCCAAAACTGTTACCAATAGTTCACAACTAGCGAGTCACACTTTTGTGTTAAACAGTTTACTCACTGTCCAGTTCTTTTTGGATGGATTTTGTTTTTAGAACACTTGAAAATAGACCTACGGAGTCTCCCTCTGCCTCCGTATGCAGTTTCCCTGTTAACATCTCGCGTTAGTGTGGTACACTTCTTATAACTGATGACCTAATATTGATGCATTATTATTAACTAAAGTCCATAATGTACATTAGGGTTCATCTTTATCTGGACAGTACTGTGGGTTTTTGTGATGTACCTACCCTTGGAGTATTAATATACAGGAGTTTGG